GCCCCCCTCCCCGGGGCACCGGGCACTGGCGAGCCCTGCTCCGGCCCGGGGCGAAATAGCCCTCCCGGCGCCCCTGCGGCTTCTTCACGGGGCCCTTTCCTTTTTTTCTTTTTCCCTGTCCAAAATAAATCGGTTTTGGGGACGTGCCATTAGGGATCGGCGGGATCGGCCACAGGTGTCATTTTATTTAATTTTTCTGGCTGCGGATCCAGGTATCCCGAGCCGCAGACCCGAGCAGCCCGTGGGCGGGATGCGGATCAGCCGTGTTTTCGGGGCAAAACGAATCATCAACCTGTCCGAAATAATCAAAACCGCCCCCTGCTCTGCATATAGCAATCTTAATATTGGCTGGCAGCAGAAAAGAATTTCTATCAATGATTTAAATATTTTATTACTTATAGATAAATGTTTTACCAATAGATTAAATAGTTGGTCATCAGGCATAGCCTGCAGAGAAGCTGACGAAGGCTGGAGAATTGGTTAAGGAAACGAAGATACACTTTGGGAGATCGGGAGGGGATGTGGTTTCCCCTCGGAAAGGGTCAGGGTAATAAGACTTTGCCTGACTTCTCCCAGTTAAAATGGAGTTGGACTGTCTGCACCTTATAAGCAGAAAGGGAAAATCTCGTGCTGGGTCCTGGCATTGCTGTGGCCGGAGAATCAGGACAAAGGAAGGCCAGACACCATCCACGGAGGGTGATTTAGGAATAATTAAATCAATCCTGCCACGATGCAGGAAGGGTGGATTAAAAGATGCCCCAGTGAAAGCTTACCAGGATGCCTGGGGGAAGGAGACCGGCTATCCCAGGAGACCTCCTGCTATGCGTGCAACAGGAGCCTTGGGCTGGAGGGCTCATCCCAAACCCAGGGTCCCTCCCCGGGCAAACGCTCCCAGTTTTCAGTGCTCTGGAGTAAATACCGGTTTGGTTTGTTTTTTTTTTTGTGGACTGGACAAGGCTGGGTGAAAACACAGCAGGGGCTGGTGTACAGGTCACATTCTGGATGGGAGAGAGGAGATAAAATTCAGATTTATTTTTAGTTCTATACAGAAACGGACCTGCAATATTTAGCTGTAGTTGTGTATTCTATACTAAATTAAGACCTCTAGTTGTACCAAGAAAGGGCTGGGAGATGACAGGCCAGTAGTCTGCAAATAGCTGCATGATAGAAACACCAAAAGGGATAGGGGTTTGTGTATTGCAGAAGGGACAGGGGCTACCCAGGGATGAGAGCTAAAAGGGGAAAACTTCAGCTGAATCCTGCCAGTGAGCCTTGCTGGGCTTCGGCACTCTTGTCGGAGGAGGGTGGAGAGGAAGACTTGAAATTTAAACTGCATCAAAATTGGAATAATTTTTCCTGTGGTCCCAGAGAGAGAAAATACCCGAGTTAATGTGCCTCTGCTGTCCCTAGAGTTCACAGATTTGTCGGAGCTAAATGAAAACTGTTTGAAAAGAGAATGGATTTAGGAGTGAATTTAAAGAATTGCAGGCAGGTCCCCTGCATTTGCATGCTGCTTTTGTTAGTAATGTTATCGATCTGGTGGAATCCTTTCGATTCTGAATAGCAGAAGATATTTCTGAGATTTTCTGGTTATGATCTTTGGAATTGTAGGGCTTTTCTGAAATTTGGATGTATTTTAGAATAAGACTTTTTTTCTTCTTTCATTCCCCCTTCTGGGAGTTAAATGTTTCTTAGTTTGATAATACATTTATACGTTTACTTTGAACAAAGGCTGCAGTTCGTTATTGGTTTTGGGTTTGGATTTTTTTGCCATTGAAGTGTTGTTAGCTTTTATCAAAAATTGTGTTTTGTGTACCGGGGAGGCTTGGAGGGTGGGAGTTTCAATCCTCAGGGGAGTGGAAGTGGTCCGAGACCTCTCATCCATCCCCTGGAGAAGGGTTTTCATCTGTCTCGGCTTTCCAGCTGCTGATTTTTCAATCTGGTAGTCCCGAGCTGAGAACTGGCTGCGCAGAGGCGGGTTGGGCTGCTGCCCGCCCAGGGCGGTCCAGGAGGATTTCCAGAGGGTAATGGGGTAATGCAAACTGGCAGGGAGCAGCTAATGGGATATGAGTGGAAGCAACCAGGGTAAAAAGGGAGAGGAAGGGAGCTGGCACTGGCTCTCGTGGGGAAGGACTGGTGAAAAGCAGTGGGGAGCAGGGTGCATAAAACCTTTGGAGGATTCAGCCGAGGTCCGGGGCTCTAGGGGAGGATTATTTGCTTGTGGAGATTGAAGAGGCTGAGGACCAGCAGCTGGGGAAGGGCTCAGCACCTCTCCAGGTGGGGTGCTGAGGGGATGCTGCTTTATCTCAGCATGACTATCAAAGGGTTAAGAAACCTCTGGATACAAGAAGAGGAGGGGGGTGATTTTAAGCCAGGCCAGGGGTGGGTGTGCTTTTATAGGGGTGTGAGGGATAGGGACACCTCCAGGATGCTCACAAGAGGCAGCAGAGTCTGAGATGAAAGAGCAGCTGCCATGGCTGCTGGTTGCGGGTGCTTGCTGCTGGGGAGGGACCGTCTCCAGAGGCAAGTCCCTGAAAGGGAAGGTGATTTGTAACTGTTTAAAGCTCTGTCTTCTGGCATTTTCTGGTTCTCCTTTCACCCTGGCACCTGACCTTTTGTGCACAGAAACACAGAAGATGGGAGAAAAGCTATGTGTTAGCAGGTTACCCAGTTTTCTGTAGCTTCTGTCTATTTCTGACTCTTTGTCATATTTGCTGTTTCTTCTTATGTTTTTTGATCAAAGAGTTTTACTCCCCTCAGGACAATCTTCACATCCTACCAACTGGAGGAGCTGGAAAAGGCCTTCAACGAGGCCCACTATCCTGACGTATATGCTAGAGAGATGTTGGCCATGAAAACAGAGTTGCCAGAAGACAGGATACAGGTAATCATACACCTCAGACCCCCTTATCTTGCCCCTCTGTCACGTTCATCCCTCCTTGACGAAAAGGTAGTGGCATGAGAAGGCTGACACTGCTCTGAATAAACACCTCCCCAGGCTGTTTACTCCCCTGCTCTCAATGGTTAGGCTGCCAGATCAGCTGTTCTTGGCAGATTTGTATTTGGTGTTTGTATGTCAATGTGTGCTGTACGTGGTGTGTTGTAGCAGTGGTTTGGAGTGTGAGTTACAGAGGGAATCCTAAATCATTGAAAGGGAACGGGTGTGCAAGGGAAGACTGCAGTGTTTCGAGGTCTTGGTGGTATAGGCAAGAAGAGAGCCTCCCAGAGACCAGGTCTGGGTGGGCAGTATGGGAGGAAAAGAGCTCACCTCTGCTCCTTTGGGCACAGGAGGATGCACAGAGGTGTCGTTAAGTGGGTACCGCTGTGGGTAGGATTGCAGTGTGGGAATGATGAGTGAGTCCCAGTGGGGTGTTTGCACCATCTCTGCACTTTGCATTTGCTTCCTCCAGCGAAGCTTTCTTGAAAGTTCTAGGGATAACTTTTTGTTAATGACTTTTAATGTCTGTGGTTTAATTGCATGCCAGTCCTGTCATTCACTGTGAGGGGGTAGAATGAGCCTGTGTGGAGTATTGCTGCTGTGTGTTGAATCCTTTGGTGGTAAGGAGCAGCCTGAGCCACAGGGCTGTGCCAGCACCAGCATTTGGTGTGCATGGCAACTGGTATGCAAGCAATGATTACAGGCCAAAAAGCTGGAGAAGACTTGCAGCTGCTGTGTGCAGTGTGGGAGGCACAATGTGCTTGGACAGACCAAACAGGACATTCACAAGGGTGGACTCCAGCAACTTCTGCTGCCTCCCTCCTCCTTATGCCCTGCTCCCACCTGGTCACTGCACAAGGCACAGGGCCATAATGGCCAAGCCTTGAACCCATTTTTGCTGGTGCAGGTGATGTTGTTTGGCTGCCTGGGGGTTAAACTGTCCTGGTCCCCTGCACAGTGGCAGTGGCTGCCTCTGTGGCTGATGCATAGCAGTTTCTACAAGAGGCATTGGCCTGAGTGCCACATGGTGTTGGGAGGGTCTTGATTTCCCTGGTTCCTCTTTCTGCTCAGTCCCTCATGCATGCCCAGCACCTGCCAATCTGCTCCTTCAGCTTGTGCTCTTTCCTTGCTAAAGAAATGTCCCAGGAGGCTGCTCCCTCATGGGTTTGTAAGGTAGATCAGAGGGCACTTAGCAAGATAACACTGATGCTGGAAGCTGCTGAGGCATGACCCTGTGCAGTGACAGGAAGATCCTCCCAAACAAAAGTGCAGCCCTTTTTTCCCGCAGTCCTGAGCCCCCCTCACCACCCTCATTTTTGTGCTCAATCAAGAGTGACATTTTTATAAAAACAAGTTGTGCTTCCTATCCTGTTGTGCTGGCAGGACCTAACAGGTTGTAGACAACCTGCATGCTGACAGTATTTCCACGGGTCTTCAGAAATAATGGCCCATCATCTGAAATCCTACCTGACACATTAGGATTATGCTCTAAGAAACAGGCCTTGATGCTTTGCCTCTAGAGAGAGCAAGTTGGATGGAAGGTCACTTTTACCTTTGTGACCCTGTAGAACATTAGGTCAAGAGGGGAGAGACCTGTCAGGAGTTTTGTGTTGCCTACACTCACTATCTGATGCTGGGCTGGAAAAAAGATCCTTTGATTTCCCATAAAGGGCCTTTTCAAGGAAGAGGTTCATCTAGTGGCACAGTGGATCTTGAACTACAGAAGCACCATTTCTCTGGCCAGAGCTTAGGGCCCTCACTGTGGGTGAAGTGGAGGCAGATGTTATGGCACACAGTGCAGAGTTGGACACTGCACATACTGCTTCAGCATCTGGAGCATCCTTCTAGGGCTGAGACTCAGTGTTTTATCTAATTTGGAAGTGAAATAGTGGCTGAGGTATCTTAGCTGTCACTGACATGCTGCCAGCATGTCATTCTGCAGCTGGCTAATGAACAACTGCTTACTCTTCCTGTATTGCAAAATTTTTAAACCTAGGAGTGCTCCTGACTCTTAGCCCTCTGCCCTAGAGGTCAGGTTAGACTTGGACAGCAGAAGAACCCTGTGGTGTGGCTGTTCTGAACATCAAGTGTTGCTAATGGCACATGTATTTCAGGAGAAAGTGCTTGTGAGTAACACTTTTGCTCATAGTGAAAGGGGAAGTCATGAGAAACAGCAGAATTTCTGTGGCATCTGTTGTGTGAGAGCATGAGCATCCTGCACCACTGATGTTTCCAGTGTGTCAGCACCCCATTGTCCTTTACCACATACTCTGTAAATGTCCTTGTCCTTACTTTTTTGAGTGTCACAAGCCATGACAAGATTATTCCCAGTCTTGGTCATGTTTCTTGATATTTCACCTCATGTTCCTTTTCAACTTTAGCCCCTTCCGTATGAGGCTAATTCTTTCCCCCTTGTTATGATGTTCACACTCTTTAAATAAATCTAAGCTATTTCTTCTCCTGACTGTCACTTTCAGTTTTCATCATTTCTTAAGCAAGCTGTGAAGATCTTTTCTTAAATCATTCTTCATAAATAACATGGTAGTCTCTTAATCATGGGGTTGTTCTCCTGTGAAGCCCATCCCGCCTATCAGTCTTCCTGGAGATAAGAGACCACAGCCTACAGCTGCACACAGGATGTGTTCTCACCAGTTTAGCTGGACTTTGGAGTCCTTGCACAAGCAGCCTTGGATTTTCACTGGTTTACATTCTTCCATATTTATTTCTTTCTATTTATCTAATTCAGTCACTTCAAGCTTTTTTTAGAGATTTTTTTTTTTATCCTCACCATTTTTCTTTCAGTCTTCAGGGTTTCATATGGCATTTTATTACCTTTGGCTAATAAGCATAATAACAGCCCTACCAGTTCTGACACTGGCAAGAGGAGGATGTTAGAGAAGAGTATGAGAGCAGGGCAGCTATCTAGTGATACTTACTGAATACTTTGACAGCCTCCTGGGTTTTGAACACATGTAAATATCAAATATCCCGCAGCAAGAAGTCCTGCAGCAGAGCTGCACAAGTGAAGTAAATCTTGCTTTGAATCTATTAGCATCATTTAATGCCCCTTGGAAGAGACAGCTGAAAATGAATCTTTATTCCCTTCTTCATAATATTTATAATTTCATGTCACAGAGTTTGGTTGTTGTTTTTGTTTTGTTTTGTTTTGTTTTTTTTGCCCGAGTTTCTAACTGCTCAAGGGAGCTCTTTATTTTTGCATTTTTGTTGTAGCTTACAGTTCCTCCCATCTTTCAACACTGTCCTCTCCCTCTTGTAGGTCATTAATGAAAGTGTTTTCTCAGAATGTTGTGAGCATCACATGCTGTAGACTTACACAGAATTTCATGTGGGTTCCCACTGGATCCACACCTAAGAGTGATATCTACCCCTTATTTTCATTCATGGAATTATTTCTCAGGAGGTAGTAGTCAAAGAGAAAGTAAATCACCTATGAAATTCAATATGAAAGTGAAATTCAGAAAGTACAATTGAGAATGATATATAGGAACTTCTTGCATGTAAAGCCTTCAGCAGGACACTACAAATAGCCATCAGAGGCCAAGAAAGTTATTGGTTTGAGAGAACATTGAATTCAAGAAAAAATATTAAAGTCCTCCATTTAAAGAGAAAATGAACATGTGGATTTTTTCAAGACACCACTCTTTCACATTGCGTGCGTCTTCCTCCCGTGTGGAGCTGGCTGCTTCTGGAAGGAATATGAGCATCCTCCCATTGGGCAACATGGAAAAATAATTTAATTTTCTTAGTGAGACACTCTGCACAAGTCAGACTAGGTGTCACTGTGGCCATTTTGCAAGATACTTGAAAAAGACTGTGTTAATTGGTGTATTTGAAAGGATATTCAGTAGAGTTGAAATGACGCTATTAGAATAAACCCAGACCATTCTGTAAATCCAGGTGAGGTAAGTAGATTCCTGAGAGTAATTATATCCTTAATAGACAGCTTGAAGTATACAAAATGGCCTCAAGGTGACAGGTATTCTGACACTTGACTTAAATCAGTGTGTTTCTTACAACAGATGCTGCTAAGTGTAATGTGTAGGTTTTAGGTAAATTATCCCTATTGAATTTATTAATATGTGACAGTTCCAAACTTTAAACACCAGTATCTACAATAAATTTCAGGAACAGTTTGATTTGGGATTACTGAAATGATTGTGTATGTTATTACAGTAGGTCTCCTACCGATCAAACAAATCGATTAATCAGTTCAGTATTTCAAAAAAATAAGATACTGCCTCCATTGTGGAGACACTAGATTCCCATTTTAAGAGAACTAATCAATTAAAAAAGAGAATAAAAGTGTTAAAAATTGTCAGTCCCTGTTGTTAAATGATTGTATGGTAGTTACATGGATGAAGAATTTGGGGACAAATAAAACTGCTCACATAAGCAAAAGGAACCCAAAGGAGACTCTGGTGCCATGTGTGAGGCATGTGGATTGTCCGTGTATCCAGCAAGCTTTGTCAGGCAGCTAAAAGTTCAGTTTTGGCTAAACCCAAAACCAAGCCAACTAAAACTCTTAACTGACTATGTGTTGGTTTAGCTGCTATCAGATTAACACATTTTAGTATCACTGTGTAGCCCTTTAGGAGTTTAATGGGGATGGAGGAATCAGGAGGGGTGGTCATTTGGAGGGAAGCATTTGTATCAAGAGTATTTTTCCAGAACAAGATGTTTACCTTGCTTCAGTGTTGCAAAAACATGCTGCATTTAGTGGTGAACGTAATTTGGAAAGGCCTGAGGAACCTGTATTGCACTAAGCATGACCTCAGGAGTGAACCCATGGAGTCCTCTCAAGAAACAGGATAGAAAGTGTGAAGGAAAAATTGGCTTTATGCAGCTTTAGCAGCCCTGGCTTCTCCCCCTCCTGCCAGCTTTTCTTGCTTGCTGCAGAGCATTGAATTGTAGTTTTAATCCCACGG